TTCATTTTTATTTTTCTGACTTTCCGGAAAACGGAATACTCGATGTTGAAGAAAATGTTATGGAAACACTCTAATACCATAGATATATGTACATGAATTTCAATTATGAAACACAAAGTTGGTCCAGCCGTCTCCAAAAAGTTCATGAACATACATAAAAAACGAACATTTCCTTTTCGGAAACAGGTTAAAAATAAATTTAATGGTGTTTATTTTATCGATATTTAAAATCTTTTTGATGAAGTATGTATTATAAATTTTTAAAGTGAAAAACTAGACTTGCTTGGAATCTTACTTAGGCTTTATTTCTTTATTAAAACCTTTTTGGTTAGTTTCAGACTGAAGTTTTATAAAATTAATTAATGTAAGCAGACCGTCTGATAACGTTATAATGAAAAAAATTATTCTTTATTTTTTATATTGATATCGCGTTAATAAATTCAGCAATTATTTACAAATCTCGAGAGACTAACGATTTTGGGATTACATAGATAATTAGATACATAATTGAGAAGACACACGCCTATTTTCTCCCATTATTTTCCGTTTTTCCCAAACAAATTGTTTATTTTATTCATTTATATGTTAAAAAGAACTCAGCAAATCGAATTACCAACCTCATTCTAACAGCCATCAGACTTTGAATTAGGTTAGAACGCGGGGCTAAAGGATTTTTCCACTTTATAAGTACATTTACATTCAAGGTGCAAGTTAGATGATTCTCGCTCAGAATGTGTCATTTAGTTTAACTGGGAGAGATCTCTTTAAATCTTCAGCTGGTTTCAAACTTATTTTAGTACCCAAGTAAGTTTTTACTGTAATTGTCGCAGTCACGACGTTGACTTCCGCTTCATCCTGAGACCATCAGCTGCAATTATGTTACGTGTCCTTAGTGCTTAAAACTTAGCTAGAAAGATTTTCTTAGATTTTTATGTCATTTCCGTCTCCATAGAATTTTCAGTTAATGCGATTTTTCTGTATGTACTTGTAATAAGTATAGAATTGTACACTATCTATCTTCTTCTATATAAATAAAAATGAATGTTGGTAAGCGCATAATTCAAGAATGGCTGGACCAATTCGGCTAAATTTTTTTTCGTATGTTCCTTAAGGTCCATGGAAGGTTTTAATAAAGAGAAAAAATGAAAAATTAACGAAAGAAAAAAATTATATGGCTAATGCTGGCTACTAACTATTTATATCTATTTAAAACGTACGCTAGTTTGTCAATAAATTTCTTAAGTCTCATTTGAATTTGCTTCTATTTATGTGTAGACTGAATTTTTATGTAAGTTGGCATGGTGTGCTTTGATTCCATTAGTAAGGAAATCATTTAGTAGCTTCACAGTTAAAAAATAGTAATATATCAAAAAACACAGTTTATCCTTTGATAAATAAATAATTATAGTGAATATAATATAGTATGATAAATTCATATGGTTTGTTCCAATATAGTAAACGTAACGTTAAAACTATAAACATGCATTTTTGTCTGTTACAAACACTTTATTGATATAAACTCTGATGAGTGCGAGGATAGTTGTTTTGCTGAGAAGTATCGGCGAAAAATTTAAAAATCGCTCTTTTAAATATTTTTGTTGAGTTCTGATTTAAAGTAAGTCAATATATGCCAATTATAGGCCAAATAGTACAGTCACAAAAGCCTATTTTCCTGATGTTGTTACAAAAATTTGCTAAGCTTGACTTCGCAGTAACTAAGGAAGTATTCATCTGAATAAGTAATGTTTCACACAAAAGGTGCGGGAAATGTTAAGCTCTAAAATTTGTTTAAAACTATTCTAACCTAAATGGCGCTAGAAAGAAGATATTCTAGAAAAACTGATGTTTGGTACCATTTTTCCAATATGGCGGCGCGAGCTACGGTTAGTCAAGGTCACAAACTTGAATAATAAATAGGTCACCAAACTGTAAAAATATTCCAAATTAGAACTCTCCTTGACCTTTGGTAGTGGTAAGACCCCTTTTATGCCTTCAATGACTGGACTAAAATAAAATAGAATGAATTATTATTAGGTGTACATTCTAACTGCGATAGTTTTAATAACCTTTTAATCGCTACCTAACTAACTAGCTAACCTTTAAAACGCTTTTTGATCTACATGAGGTAGTTTCTATATAACTATAAATAAATAAATATGTTGGGACATTTACACACAGCACCATCTAGTTCCACGGTAAGCTTCGACTTATGGATACGAGATAGTTGATACACTACACATATATAACTTTAAGTACATACATATTATAAATATATATACCCATGACTGGAGTACAAGCATTCGTTCTCATCCCTTCATTCCCAAATGAATGCCCCCAGCGGGATTCGAACCCGCGACCGCTGGCACAGCAAGTAGGGTCATTACAAACTAAGCCATACGTGTCGTCAATACCTAAGAAATTTAACTGTATCTAACATATGTGTAGAATTACAAAGCAAATATGTAAAGAGTAGTAAATAAATTAAAATAAAGATAAAGTATTTAATGGGTAAAGTTATACATACAGTATATACATATAAAAAACAGAATAACTCAATTACTCAAGCCGTTTCAACTGATGTCAACTTGCTGAATTACATTAGTGAACAGACTTGGCGGCGTGGGCAAGTTCTAACCGTCTTAAATTTTTGCTTTTATTTTTTCCTTAAATAAGCCTTCGCCTGCGGCTGCCTGGAATTCGTATGAAAATCTTTATATAGAGTACTTTCAACCTTTCAGGAATAAAAATATCGAGGGAGACACCTGCAAAGTTGTTCACGGTTGAACAAGTATTAGAGTGAAAATAGGGATGAAAGTTTGTATGGGGAATGTGTGAATGATATACCTATAAATAGGCAAAGATCAATTAGTTCAGTGCCATTTTCTCCTCTGCTTGTTAACCTATTTTCTTTTTTTTTTTGTTTAGTTATTACACATTTTTTTAATAAAATTAAACATTAAATAATAAAATAAAAAATATATTATGGTCGAATTTCGACTTGTGGGAGAAACCCTAGTTGTTATAATTCTATAGGTACATATTATAATAAAATTCTAACCGAATCGAATCTGTACATTAAATATTTTTTGAAAAATCTTATTGAAATAGTTAATAATATCGATATAGAGGCCTAATCTAGTTTTTAAAATTTTTGTTTGTCTGTCTGTTTGACAAGAAAACCACAGGACCAATTTTGATGAAATTTGGTATGACTATAGCTGATTGTCCGGGTCAATATATAGGATACGTTTTACCGCAGGAAAATATCTAATCTCTGAGAAATCTATTCTAACCGTTAAAATGTTCCTATGGAGGAACCCAAGCGGAGTGAGATTAAGTCGCTAGTAATATATATATATTTGATATCTCCCGAGAGCTATATTATTCTAGAATTTAAAGTACCCTTACATATTAACTGAATTAATTTTAATAGGTATTTTCTATTAAGGTTTTATGTAATGTTAGAAGTTTATTTACCATGGGGATATTTTTAGACATATTACTGTTCACCCAGTTGTCGGCCATAGATTAATGACATATTGTATGAATAGAATTTACATATTTATTTAAAAAAAAAAACTACCAGTTTTGAAATTTCTGATAACACTAAAACTCGTCAAAAGCTATTTATTTTTGTAAATTTGAAAACAGACAGCATATACAAATATCAAATGCAAAATATGTACATCAGAATTAATACACTTAGCCAATAAAGTCTCCACTACATAAACATAGCAGAATAAATTTATTAACAATTAAACAAAAACAGATAAGCAAAATGTGTAGCTACAAAATAAAAAGAATAATATAGAAATAATATTTAACAGCTTCTAGTACATTATTATATCTTCTGTCGAGATGATGGTAAGAGACCTGATGGCCTGTCGCTGGTTCCTTGGGAAAGGGGACGGGCCCTATTGTGGGATGCTACATACGTTGACACATTGGCCCCGTCCAGCCGTCAGGGAGACCGCGTCTGAAGTGGGAGCTGCGGCGGAGAAGGCTGAACTACTTAAGTTGCGTAAATACACCTCCCTTAGTCAAAATTATGTTTTTATTCCATTTGCTGTAGAAACCCTTGGCCTATGGAGCCAAAGTGCTAAGCTCTTCTTAAAAGACATAACACCCCGTCTTATCACCTCTACCGGTGACAGGAGGGCTGGCGCATTTTTCGCCCAAAGAATCGGCATTGCCATTCAACGGGGGAATGCGGTTAGCATTCTTGCCACTATTCCACGTAGACATGACTTGTACAGTAATAACTAAGTGTACATATGTTTTGTATATATATTTAAGTATATTTGTAATTTTTTTTTCTAAATAAAGCTTCTAGTGTTTTTTTTAAAGTTGGGTTATATTTTTTTTATTATATCCAAATTTGTCAAGATTTTTGATGAGAAAATGGTACTTTACTGTTTTGTCTTTGCCTATTTACAGACTTATATAGCGGCTCATTCTCGCTTCGCTCGAGTTCGTCTCTATGTACGTTTTATGTATGTAACGAGTTTTCGCGTGGGAATGAGATAATCTCCCGCGGTAAAAAGTAGCCTTAGTCAATCTCCAGCTCTGTAAATAAAAGTAAAAGTTGAGTAGAAAATGACTATATTAGTCAATTCTTAAATGTTTTCAAAGGTGATCACTAGAAAAATAACTAAATATTTATATTAATTATTTGAAAAATCAGTGGGCCACTTTAAGATGTTGAGTTTTTTTTTTATTTAAATTTTTTTGTTTTTTTTTATTAGCTACAAATTGTACCTATAAGAGCTAAGAAAAAAAATATTTTTTGCTCCACCCTAGTGTGTAGGCAATTCGCTCACGGTAAAATTAAAACAAATTAATATTTAAATAAGGCATGTTATATATATATATATATATATATTTCAATAATATATCTATTTCTATAAAATCATATATTTATCATATACTAAAAGAATATAATACTATATTAGTGTAGCAACAGAACTCTGCTTCCGCTTCCGCAACTGCAGAAGTTCCGCATGTTTTTTCACTTCCGTTTCTGCTTCTGGTTCCGCAAATTTTATAACAGAACTCTGAACGGAAGCGGGGAGAAAGTCCAGCCTTCTACTTCCAAATCATCAGCATCATTGCAAATATTGGAATCGATGTTAAGTGTAAATGAAGACCAGGAGGAGGACTCTTCTACAGCTGACGATGGTGACAATTTACTTTTAAAGATACAGTCACACCTTCGGGAGTACAAGAAAGAAAAAAGGCTACCTCTTCATGAGGATCCCCTTATGTGGTGGAATGGAAATGCGCACAAATATAATAATATTTTGCCAATAGTTCGCCAATACTTATCAGCTCCCCCCAGCAGTGTAGCCAGCGAGCAATTATTTAGCGGAGCTGGTTTAATATATGAAGAACATCGAAATAGGCTGAAAGGTGAAAAAGCGGCCAAGTTACTCTTTATTAAATATAACTTGCCGCTGTTTAATTTTGACTACTAACATAGAAATTTAATAAAAAAAGTTTTAAATGTACAATTGTGCTTTTTTTTCATAGTGTTAACGCTTCCGTTTCCGCTTCCGTTTCCGTTTCCGCTTCCGTTAAGATTTACTTTTGACATCTGTTTCCGTTTCTGCTTCCGTTATGCCAGTTCCGTTGCATCACTATACTATATATCATTTGGCAGACAATACAACGGTAACCATGGCAACAATTAGTCATAATAGCGTGTAACGTATTCTATCTTATTCTCTTGCCGGCTTAATCCTATCTATATATTTATGTGTTTTTCTCTTTTTAGTGTTGCATTTCCGTTTCATCGAGTTTCAAATCATAGCGATTCTAAAGAAGTTTCGCTTGAAAAACTTTTACATAATAATAGTCGATTAGTAAGAAAATAAGAATAAAAATTATACTTATCAATTTTATGTTATTTACCCACGTATCATGTAAGAATGCTTGGACGGTGCAGGTAATAGTCTCGATTAGGAACGTCTGTAATAATCCAATCCAGTGAGCTTGACTCCGATGTACGAGTAACTGGTGAAGTATTTATCTGATTGAAATATGTTTCAAAAGTTAAAGGAATTTTGCTATTAGTACACTCTTTAAGCTCTATCTTAACAACGGTTGATTGTATGAAAATATACTCGTACTATTAAAGATCTTTGTTGAGCGATCTTTATTTACCACTTTTGTATTATGAATAAAACCTATCTTTTCGGATTATTTCGCGGATTTATTTTGATTTTTGGTTCCTGACGTTTCGAAGTAATGTCCGTAACAAGTATACAACGCCTTTGAGACGTCTAAAACCTTAGTCTCTCCCGTAACCATGATTACTGTAAAGCATTCGAATTCAAAATGTCAAATATTCGCGTAAATCTAAGAAAGTTTTAACAGTTTTTTTGTAATTTTAAATCTGATTTTAATCAAGCTGGTACGAAAAATCGATTTTATTAACTTTTGATCTCTGATAACTTATGACGCGAATACGCATGAGGTTACAAGAGACTGTTGAGTCATAATTTAAAATACTGTAATAAAATTTTTGTACTTGATGACCTTCGCGACGCTGAAGAGAAAATATTCTCGTTACCTTACGATAGCTCGTTCGGTATTCGCTCAAAGTAGCAAAACTTATTGGACTCCCTTATTGGACCCTTAACGAAAATCCCTTTCTTATTTTAATTGAATGGACTACAAGATTTTGTATAGATTATTTGCCAGATTTCAAAAGGAACACCTGTTCAATTCGAATGTGATTTTTTTGTACACGATATCTTCCAATCGTGAACCGATTTATTCTTTTTATTTTCTTTGTATAATTTCATAATGTCCGTCTGAGTTCATATTAGAATTTAGTGAGTTATAATATTTGAAATTGTGTAACTCGATGGACTTTATAGAGATAATTTGTATTATTTTGTGTTGTATAAATATAAATTGTAAATATTTTATGACATTAATACACAGCACCATCTAGTTCCATGGTAAGCTTACGAGGTTTGTGTCATGGATACCAGATAGTTGATACACTACGTATATAGCTTGAAATACATAAATATTATAAATATAAACACCCATGACTGGAGTACAAACGTTCGTGCTCATCACACAAATGAACGCTCCCAGCGAGACTCGAACTCGCGACCGCTGGCACAGCAAGTAGTATCACTACAAATTTAGCTAAAAGTTGCGTCAGTATATTATAATAAAAAAAACCTTACTGAGCTGTAAATCTAATGCCTAATGGATTGGTAATTTATAACTCCATTTTAATTTTCCAGATCCCAATTATAAATTACATTATCTATGTACTACAGACGAATTACAGAATCGCATGCTAAAAGTAAGCAAAATAGTACAATTAGATTACGAAGCCCGTTTTAACAGCCGTCAACTTGCTGAATTAGGTTAGGGAACGCGGGCTTGTGAATTTTTCCCAGTTATACGCCCATTTATATGCTACTGAATCGTGGACGATCCGTACAATATATTTTATTTATCGTATAATATTATAAAGCTCAAAAACTTTCTTTGTTTGTTTGAACCTAGGTATATAGTAATAGACCGAGTATAATCTTCATAAAATTGATCTCATTCTAGACAAATTTGGAAAAAAAGAATTTCCAGCGGCAACGCCGTTTATTTTTCATTCACACGTTTTTGTCGTTCATTTGATAGCGATACAGTTTCCAATCCTGATCATATATATACAGGACGAATTTCAAAAAATGTTAAAACATGCATTTATTTAGATTTTCAAGTAACTCAGTTCAAGCATAATTTTTTGGGTTGTAATATACGTGTTTTTTCGTGGAAATAAGATAATTTCCCGAGATAAAAATGTCACTCTCCAGCCCTCCAACTATCACAACCTTCCACACAAAAAATATCGCCAACTCCTCACTAGGTTTCGACGTGAAAGAAAGAAACAAACAAACACACTTTCACATTTATAATATTAAGTATAGAAGTATGGATATGGATTGTGCATATATTATATGATAGTGAATTTCAGATTGACTTTAATCAAAAAACAAGTTACATATTATGCATTAGTGTTTTCGATGCTATTAAATATTTATAACCACTTTTCATATAATGTATATGAGGGTATAAATTTCTGTACATGAGATTTTTTTTTATATTTTTTGTTGGTATTAAGTGGGTGCTTTTTTTTAAATAATAATAAGTATGAGAGGTAGTAGATGGTGTTACAAAAGGGAGATAATAAACAACGATAACTAAATTATATTTTTCAATAATTAGCATAAATATGGCATTTTTTTCTAGTTTCGTATATATGTATGTATGTACATACATATACAGCTACATATACATAATCATTTTATTTTTGATCGGTTAACGAGATCAATTGTGAAATTCTATTAAGGCAAGCTGGGATTAAAAATCAAAGCTATTTTTGCAATAACAACTTTGTATCCCACAAACACGCTACAAAACGTAGAGACTCATCGGACATTTTTGAACACAATACTACTCGTAATAACATCCGATGTTTCAAACGAACATTTTTCAATACATTGCAAACAACGTCACGAATACTAGACTAATTGCTTGAATATTGATGAAATTCTGTGCTTTTTGATTATTTAGTCATTTACCTGTTGATTAAAAAAAAGGTTTAAAAATAGTCTATGTCGACATGAAAATCAATAATTTAAAAACAATAAATTCACTCATACGGATTTTTAAATTTATAATTAAACTAGCGACTCACTCTCGCTTCGCTCGGTTTCGTCCCTAGCTTGATTCCCCATACAAATTTTCAACCTCATTTTCACCCCCTTAAGGGATGATTTCCGGGATAAAAAGTATTCTCTGTCCTTTCCAGGGTCTCAAACTATCTTCTTACCAAATTTCATCTAAATCTTTTTAGTAGATCCAGAGATTACCCTCTACAACGTCACAAACTCACAATCTCACAAATATTACCTCTTTATAATATTAGTATAGATTTATAAATTAACGGTTAGTATGAAATACAAATCTTTGAATTTCTCGGCTTTTCGGTACTATAATATGCATGTATTATACATATAAACTTTCCTCATAAATCACTCTATCTATTAAAAAAACCGCATCAAAATCCGTTGCGTAGTTTTAAAGATCTAAGCATTCATAGGGATTTACAGACAGCGAGAAGCGACTTTGTTTTATATTATATAGTGACTAACGACTTACTCTGGCTTCCCTCGGATACACATTACATGGCACGTATATTCTTTCGCTATTTTCATAGCAGTTCGCTACGCAGTCAGTGCTACCTATTAGGCTATTGGCAACTTTTATTATTGTAACATATATTAGTAGTGATCTGTTTACTAAATTTCATCAAAATCCGTCCAGCCGTTTTCTTGTGGTTGTCCAACAAACTTTAGAATTAAAAATACAAACGAAATAAATGTGAAGAGCTATTCATTAATAAAAAATTAGTGCGTGTAACCTTTACCCGCGGTTAAATAAAACCTTTTTGGCCCTCTGACAGATACCGCAAATGAATAAAAATTGAAAAATTAACGAAAAAAAAATTAAAATGTGTATGGCTAACGTTGGCTAATTGCTATTTATATATATTTAAAACGTACCTAGCGACCAACCCGCGCTAAGCGTGGGTGAGCCGCTAGTTAATAATAAATATTTATTTTTATAAATAATAATTATTAAAAATATAAATCTAATTAATCAATCATTTTTTTTTAAATTTGACTCTTACTTCTGCGACACTTTTCCAATATATTGACTTATCATACCCCTCAGTCACGCCTGAAAAAGTTTTAATTCAAAATATTTTCTATTATTTGTAACTCCTTCTTTTTTTAATCGGTCAATTAAATAAACATAAAGTCACATCGTAGCCGTCTCTATAAGGATGCTACGGTAGTTATTACAGCCGCGCCTGTCGCGTTACTCCCTTCATGATTTACGTTAACGCTAACGTATAAACGCACGCATGTTCGTGTAATTAAATCCCTTAAAGAGTTTTTCCGACGAAGGTCCGTTCGTCCATTAAAAAAAATTGAACATAACAAATTTGTTTTAGGAAAGTGTCATCAAAATAAAAGTGAATGTTGAAAATGAAAAATGACAACGCATTTTTAAAGATTTTTTTTCTGTAAATTAAAAAAAAATCTCTTTATAATCGTATTTTTACTCATGATCTTACATTACAGTTCTCATTGATGCACTCTCTCCTATTTGATTTAGGTTCAACTCCCGGATGAGGCAAATGTTGTTATAAAACATCGACACAGATAATATATTTTTTTAAATAATAGCCGTAATTAATATATTTAACTAATGTGGTATAAATACATATAAGCCACTATTTTTACCCATGAATTACGATCCCAAATCATTTGCATAAACCCAAAACTAGTATAGAAACTTGAATTATTTAGTTAAATAAATATCACACAATGAGAAAATTCTACAAGTAAAAGTTCATAAAGATCATGATAAAGTACAATAG